ATAATTCTCTCTTCAGTTGTTTCACCAGGGGTTACTACCTGTCCAAGGCCACTTTAATTTAAGTTCAGGGCTTGAGATTCCTGGGACCACCTAAGTGATGGGTATCTAGGCTAAAAGTCCTTGCAAGGGCTGGTTACCTTTGGTTCACCATTATCTTGAAGGCTTATCAAATCTCCCACTTGTTTGGGCCTTGAAATTAAACTTTTGTCCCCTTTGCTCATGAGGTCACCAAAACCAGAGCTAAGTTTCATGACTCTCTTCTGATTAATTAAATGCCCTCACAGCAAAAATGGCTTCTAGTGCTTGACTTACCTCTCTGGGTTTTTGTCTTCTTCTACATTTTAGCCTCATAGCTTTATGAGGGTTTTTTTCAGCTTTAATGAGATATTATTGACATATATGTAAATTTAAAGTGTACAACATGATGATTTGATACACATATATATTGTGAAATTATTGCCACAGTAAGATTAATTAACATCTCTATCCCCTCACATAATTACCTTTCTTTGTGTGGTGATAATTTTTAAGTTCTTCCAAATATATAATACATTATTATTAATTATAGTCACCATGCTGTACATTAGATCCCCAGAACTTATTCATCTTATGGCTGGAAGTTTGTATCCTTTGGCCAAACTCTCCCCATTTCCCCCAACCCCAGCCCCTGGCAACCACCATTCTGTCTCTATCTTTTTGAGTTCAGCTTTTTTAGATTCCACATGTGAGAACATACAATATTTATTTTTCTCTGACTTATTTCACATAGCATAATGCTCTCAAGGTCTACCCATGTTGTTGCAAATGACAAGATTTTCTTCTTTTTATGGTTGAATAATATTCAATTGTGTGTGTGTGTGTATGTGTGTGTGTGTGTGTGTATCACCTCTTCTTTATGCATTCATCTATTGATGAGCTCTCATGTTGTTTCTGTGTCTTGCCTATTGTAAATAATGTTGCAATGAACATGAAAATACTGATATCTCTTTGAAATCCTGATTTTAATTTTCTTCAAATATATATCCAAAATCAGGATTACTGGATTATATGGCAGTTCTGTTTTTAATTTTTTGAGGAAACCCCATACTGTTTTCCACAGTGGCTGCACCAGCAGGGCACAAGGGTTGTTTTTTCTCTACAGCCTCACCAACATTTGTTATCTCTTGTCTTTTTGATACTAGACGTTCTAACAGGTGTGAGGTGATACCTCCTTGTAGCTTTGATTTGCATTTCCCTGATAATGAACAATGTTGAGCACCTTTTCATGTACCTCTTGGCCATCTGTATCTCTTGGGAAAATATTTATTTAGTTCCTCTACCCATTTTCTAGTTGGATTGTTTATGGTTGTTTTTTGTTTTTTATTTATTTATTTGGGGGGGTTGGGTTTGGGTTTTGTTTTGCTTTGTTTTGCTATTGAGCTGTATGAGTTCCTTATATATTTTGGATATTAACCCCTTATCAGATGTGTGGTTTGCAAATATTTTTCTCCCATTCTGTAGGTTGCCTTTTTATCTTGCTTATTGTTTCTTTTGCTGTGAAGAAACTTTTTAGTTTGATATAGCCCCACTTGTTGATTTTTGCTTTTGTTGCTTGTAATTTCGGTGCCATATCCAAAAAATAGTTGCCAAGACCAATGCCAAAGAGCTTTTTCTGTGTGTTTTCTATGGTAGTTTTACAGTTTCAGGTATTACATTTAAGTCTTTAATTCATTTCAAGTTATCAGTGGTGTAAAATGGGGTACAATTTCATTTTTCTGCATGCGGTTATCCAGTTTTCCCAACACCATTTATTGAGGAAACTATCCCTTCCTATTAAGTCTTCTTGACTTTCTTGTCAAATATTAGTTGACTGTATATGCAAGAGCTTTTCTTTGGGCTCTCAATTCTGTTCCACTGGTCTATGTATCTATTTTTAATGCCAGTAACACTCTTTCAATTACTGTAGGTTTGTACTAAAGTTTTAAAATCAGGAATTATGATGCCTCCAGGTTTGTTCTTTCTCGGGATTGCTTTAGCTATTTGGGGTCTTTTGTGGTTCTGTATGAATGTCAGGATTTTTCTATTTCTGTGAAAAATGCCATTGGAATTTTGATAAGTTTCATTATTTTTAGTTTTTTCTTCCTATATTTCATCCAGTTTATTTACTTGTCTTCATTGGGACTGTTAGTCCAAATTACCTAGACTGACATTACAAGCAGCAGAGATATACAATACCCGCCTAACTGCTTTCATTGCCCTCAGTCTCTCTTCTTTCCAGTTCCTCCTTTACAAAGTAACTGTGATTATTCCAAGATACCACTCTGATTGAGTCATTCCCTTGCACAAACCCTTCAAAAGCTTAATGTTGATTCTAAAATGAAAATCGAATTTCTTAGTTTGTACAATTAGGTCCAAATATCTCTTTCTTGCTCCATTTATTTACTGTACACTGAGTGGGTGGTCCTCTCTAGGGCAGGTTCTGCTTAATCTCCTGCCTTTTACCTCTCTTACCCCTTTCTTACTCCAAATTTACCTACACTCCAGTCGAACTGGAACACTCACTGTCATGTGGCAGACCTGGGTCCAGAACACAGATGGTCTAACTAACTTCTCCCCATCTCCCTTTCCCTCCCCCTCTGACCCAATTAAACCATTAATTAATTAATTAAAATCTTAAAAAAAAAGAAATTTCAACCCAGCATTACCTCTAGGGAGAGCAGAAGTGGGGGGAAGATCCCCTGGGATGTGAGGTCTGGAAGTGAATTCATCACCATCATCAACTTTTTGTCAATCTTCATAGTCACAGGGGCACCTAGGAATAAAATTTCAAGCTTCAGGCTTGTTTTTCATGAAAAATGAGAGATGGATTGCCTGTGAAATTTGATTCCAGGGTGCTGGGAACATCCTGCATCTAAATAAATCTACTCCCACCTGCTGGCGATTGCCTGAACATCCAGCCAAAGTTGAATCACACCAAAAAACAAAACAACGTTCTGGAAGTAGACAAACCTGGAAACAAGGATTATAGTTTGGACCTCCACTGTTATGTGACCTCAGGCCAATCCCCTTTCCTTCTCTGAGCCTCGGTGTCCCTATATTACAATCCAGATGGTTGGACAAAATGACCTAGAATGGCCCTTCCATGTTTATCAAGCAAGGATTTTCTCTAGAAGGATGCCTGGGTGAGCAGGGATGATGGGGGCATAACTAACAGCAGTAGGAGTGGGTTCAATTGACCCACTTCTGTATGTGATAGTGACATATGGATCCCACCATCCTTTTTTATTTCTGCACCTATGTGGAAAGGAGAGCATTTGCTGCAATGGCAAGGGAAAGAGGGGGCAAGGAGATGGCAAAGGAAGGTGTGAGGGTGTTCTGCTCTTAAAAGAAAACAGGGAAGTATGATACACATTTTTTAAAAGTTTGCTTCTAAAATGGTTAAGAAAGCTGCAGGAAACAGCTAACCCGGCAACTGAAGCTTTGCTGGGCACAAGCAGTTCCAACTCACTTCACCAAATATTGAGGGAAAGTGGGAGAGGGCTGTATTTCTGTGTGAATGTTCTAGCTAACCAAGAGTGACCTTGAAATTCATTTTCATTGCAACCCTCCTTAAGAGGTTCAGTGTTAGTAAAAGTGACTGAGGTCTATTTGTTGCTTGCCCATCTGGCCCATGGGTTCAAGGGCCGTCTTTCTGAACTTGTTTTGTCATGTATCAAAGATGGGAAAGACAGAGGGATTAAGTGGAGGAATTTCCTTATCCTCTGACATCCTTTTGTTTCATAGGACAGTATTCAGGGTAGTGGGAAGAATAAGAGCCCTCTAGTCAAAATGCCAGGCTTTTCCACACGGTGGGGCCAGAATGCAAAAGCGTTGCAGTGGACGGCTCTTCAAAGGCTAACTCCCTCGAATATCTGAAACGCTGGCCTTTGCTTTCTTTCCCCTTCAAGGTATGAGCCCTGGATCCTCACTTCAACTCTGCATGCTGGCTGTGTGACAGAGTCACATCTCAGAGTGATCCTGATTGGTGAATCCTTCCAGTTCCCTGAACTTTGTCCTGGGGACCTAAACTTGGGGCAAGGGCATTCCGAAAAATTAGTCTTTAAGAAACTCTTGGGCTATTGGAATCCAATTTCCAGCCTGATGGAGGGGCACTCCTGCATGGCTAGAGCTCTGTCATAAAACCCACTGGTGATCCCCCACCACTCCACCCGGAGGCAAGGGACGCGGGATTACTGGTGCGTCAAGGGTTTGGGAATGAGCTGCAGTCAGTTATGTTCTAGCTCCAAATGTGTCCAGCTCTTTCAGAACGCAGATTCAGCCAGGGCATTCAAATCACCTCACTCCTGTCACCGCAAAAAACAAACAGCAACAACAAAAATCCCGAACAAACTCTTGGGCACACGCTATTCCAAGAAAAAAGCACATTTCGCATTTTTGCAGAGAGGAAGAGTAGGACCCACTGGGTGCCCCAAGGCGCGGATCTGTGCCCCTCCCCCAGCAGCCAGATTCCCACCCCCGCCCCCTTCCCCCCCCCGGCCCCGCCCCTGCCAGTGTCTGAAGCTGGCCGGGGTAGGACTGCAGAGGCCTGAAGGGGCGGGGGGCCGCGCGGAGCGCAGGCGGCGGGCGGAGGCAGCAGCGCGCGCCTTTTTGTGCGGCTCCTGGCCCCTGCTGGATTGGTTCGGTCAGCGCTGCCGTCGGAGTGGGCGGAGCCAGCCGGGCGCCGGGCTTGGAGGCCAGTCGCAGCCAGAAGCGGTCGCAGACGGAGCGCACTTCGCCGCTGCAGGTGCACCTTGGGGCCGCTGCGTGGGGCAGAGCTGCTGGGGGGCTGCTCCTCCTGGGCTCTGGGCTCTGGGCTCCAGCTCGACCCCCGCGTTCCCTGCTTCCCATACCCTCGCTGGTGTCTCCTTAGAGACTCCTAGCGACCCCCCAGCTCCCTCTCGCCCCGCACTGCCTCCATCCCATCCCTTTCCCCCGCCGCAGACTGCCGTCTCTCGCGCCTTCTAGCCCGGAGCAGTGTGGCCATGGGTATCAGAGCGATGCTGCGAGCCGCCGTGCTCCTGCTCCTCATCAGGACCTGGCTCGCGGAGGGCAACGACCGCAGTCCTACCCCAAAATTCCACTTCGAGCTCTCCCCTACCGTGCCCGAGGTCATCTTGAACCTCTTCAGCTGGTAAGCCGGTACCGCCAGCCTGGGCATGGCGGCGACAGGGACCCGCGGGCGGCCTCTTGGACGGAGCGGGCTGGGGTAACTTGAACCCGGTTCGCCGAGCCCTGGCACTTGGGTCCTGCCTGCCGGTCCCTGGAGGGGGATGGGGTGGCAGTGGGGGTGGCCGATTGAAAGAGAGCTCTGTGCTTCAGCCCACCTGTTACAGCGGCGCCTCACAGAGCCCCGCGTGTGCCCAAACTGCAGCCCTGAGGGTGGGGGGAGGACGGTGCCCTCACCCCAGCGTCTGCCAAGGCCCTGGGCAGGTTTTCCCAGTCATATCCATTGGCACCTGTGGGATTGGGGTGGTGGCAGTACAGAGTGATGGACAACTCACAAAACAGAGAGAGTATAGAGACACCTGTTTGAGTCCGGATTTTCGTCTGTTCCCTGAAGCGCGTGCGTATGTTTGTGTGTGTTGAGCGGTGAGAGACATTTTCCAGTGCCGCAGATAGAAATTATTGACTCAACCTCATCGGAGCCCAGACAGTGCAATCAGTGGCTGCATAACCGTACAGCTGTGTGGCCTTAGATGGGTGTGCTTTTGTGCTTACTCCTGTGAAAACATTTGAAGATTCAACGGGTTTTTTCTGTGTTTGATTTCAAGTTTGGGTCTGCAAATATCTGAAGAGATGTTAAAACAAACAGACTTTACATGTAGCTCATACAAAAATGTGTATTTGCAGGAGCCACGGATCCTGAGCGCTGTCCTATGGGTAATGTGTGGTACTAAACAGGCGGGAATGCGTTGTTTTAATTCGGGAATAGTACATGTGTACACTTTGGAATGATGCAAAATGAAATTTTGTCATTAAAGATGATTAGAAATAATTTTTAAATGACAAGCCAGAAATGAACGTGTATTCAGAAAAAAGTGGGGGGTGGGGGCGTATAGTCTGGCAAGGTTCCAGCAGACAGCCCTGCAATGTCCTCCACCCGACATACCAGACTGCGCTAGTGAACTCTCTCTCTCTCTCTCTCTCTCTCTCTCTCTCTCACACACACACACACACACACACACACACACACGTGCACACTGTGATTTGCAGGGACTGATGTCTGTTCCCTGGTCAATGCGTCAAAGATCCTAAGAGTCATAGTGAAGCCCAGGGCCTGTTCTCATTCACAAACCCCTTTTGGGGAAAAGAGCCCCACTGAATGTCTAGGTGAATTGGCTGAGCTTCAGAGACTTCTAGAAAGGCCAGCTCTCTGCAGGGCTGAGCTGGGTCCACTTACATGGGCTCACCCAAAACACGTCTAGGCTGGAAGCCTATGCTTAGCCAGAGAGATGTCTGTTCCCAGAATACATGTCTTTTTGAGGACAGCCCTTGGGCCCCCAAAATCTAAAATGGTTTGATTGGGTGAGGGTCTTTAATCTCTGCTACATGAGCAAGGCTCTCTCTGCGTCATGTGCCATATATCAAGTCTTAAAAAGCAGAGTTGTATAAACACAAGATTTACATAGACGTGAGAACAAAATGCCCAGTCCTAGCCTAGGTAGGGGAAATGTGACTGAGCTGGAGAATGCGAACTGGCTGGCTCAGCTCAGGGGGACACTGAGGGTGGAAGATGACCTTTCCTGAGGCAAGCAGGTGCCCCTGGAAGGACTCCCACCGACCTAGAAAGCTGCATCCAGGCTGATGGCAAGATGGGGCTTCTTAAGGGGTTGAAGTAAGGCATTTATCTCAGGGCTTGAACCTGCCCACTCCCTCCCCTCTCCACTTCTCCTACAGTCTCCCCGCCTCATGCCCCCCTCCTCCCCAATCCTGCCTGGTAATAAGTATCCAGTCTTTGTGCCCCATTCTCTAGATAAAAGCGGAAGGGGGGAGGGGAAAAAGAGCCTGCGACAGGGCTGCGCTTCTGGCTGACTCACTGTAGGGAGGGAGAGGAGCAGGGAGAGATGGGTACAGGTTTGACTGTACATGTCTGCATGTGTGCGGGAGCAAAGAAGGCCCTGGCATGTTGATACCTGGGGTGTTCTTTGTTGTTTGTTCCCTGAGAAGCAATGTGGCATTTACTGATGACTTCTCTGTTTCAGCAAAAATTGTGCAAATGAAGCTGTGGTTCACAAGATTTTGGACAGGGTGCTGTCAAGATATGATGTCCGTCTGAGGCCAAATTTTGGAGGTAAGACCCGTCCACATACTAGAAGCCTTTGTGTTAGGTGGGAAAAGAGCTGAGACTGATGCAACGAGACACCCCCACTCAGGACGCTGACCAGTGGCACTCCCTACCTTCCTACCACTGTGGACAACCTGCATCAGAGCACTTCCAGGCCCCCAACCCCCAGGCCTTTTGCTCTGCCCCGGCAATTTCCCACTTCTTCGCCTTCTTATGCAAGGGGCCTTTCTGCTCCCTCCCTTACAACAGCCTGAAGTGCGCTCCCTGGTGTGGCTGGAGAAGCAGTAACCACAGACAAAACTGCTGGGTTTCACAGGCTCTCCAGTTTTCCGCTACATCTATGGGAGGGGCACACATTCTTCTACTTGATCACACATTCTTTGCACCTTAGACACTTGCAAAGTGATTAGCTAGTGCAGCTAGTTCAAAACTAAGGGCATGGTCTTCTCCGTCTAGTTTACTTTTCCCACCGGGGTCCCGGGCACTTCCACCTCTGCCACCCCTTCCCAAAGCCTTCAGCTCCCACCAAGTTCAGTTCATTCAACACACTACAGTCAGTGTGATCTTTATAAATCCAGCCTGATCACCTCACGAACTTTTGATGGCATTATTTAACTGCCAGGTATAATCCAAACTCCTTAGCCTCACACTCAGACCTCAAGCACAGAGATGAGAAATGACAAGGAAACTGAAACAGGAAGCCCATAGATCAGTTTCTCCTTTAATTCCTGCCTGTCTCCACCCTCAAAAGGGTGACTGGGCTCAATCACACAGCTTTAAGGGACAAGCAATCTGCTCCAACCCCACAGAACAGGAGTAGCATTCTTTGGCCCAGGGGCCACCCAGGAAACCTAGACCAAGGACAGACAAAAGGAAGGGTGTACTAAATAGAAGTTAGTCACATTTCGGCTCAAAGGAAACAGAGAAAGAGCTAAAAATCAGAGTGGCTAAGTTGGAGAAAGCACTCCACTTCCTGCAGGTGGTAGAACTAGACACCTGCTCTAAAGAGTTAATGAATGCTAATGGTTCACATTTGCACATATGAATAGAGGTCTTCCGAATACACAATCCCTTCACCCTAAAGGGCACACAGCCAGTGAGGTCTACAGTGTGGTAGACCAGTGTGGGGCTCTGTGATTTGCCTGGAGGGCCACCTGGAAAACCAAAGCCCCAAAGCTTTGGAAGTGGGACACTTAACTGGTGTCACCTTTGCTGTGTTGCTCCCTCTGAGTGTGGGGACAGAAGGTACAGTCCTGGATCCAAGGTGAGTGTGCACTGGGCATTAGAAAGCTGGAGTGGAGAGGGCAGAAGGAAGGCGCTTTCAGTGTGGGGATTCAGATGCTAGGGCACAGCCAGCACCTTGTGTGACACTGGTTTCTACTACACTTTCTGCTTTCCTCATTTTCACGTTTCTCAACAAAGGCTGACCAACAGCCATTCAAGTACACCAAGCACACCCTTTCCACTGTTTCCGGTTGCCATCTCCGCAGACATCCGGGGCCAGGGGGAGGGAGCAGGGGCAAGGACCAGCCTCTGGGGATTATCAGGTGTGGCTGGTCCACAGTAGCTCCAAGGCACCTCACCACCGTCTTTTGAGCTAACTTGGATTTATTTACACCCAATGCCTAACCTCCTAAGTTACACTAAACTTTATGGGCATGTAGACCTGGAGCATATGAGAAAAGATGGGTCCCTGATGAAGGTGGCAGAGCAAGGACAGTGCAGGACCGTCTAGCATTTAGAGAGAAGGAGGCACTACATCCTCCATCTGGGACTGTTATATGGGCTGGGGTGGGGGGGGTGCCGATCAATGGGACACTGGGTCAGGGGTTTCAGGGTTGGGGTAGCCCAGGACTCCCTTTAATGCCTCCCACTAGACACAGAATCAAATTCCCCTCTGTCTGAAGTGAAATAGAGATTCAAGGACACACAACACACACACACCACATACAGAGGCCTCACCTGACTATTGTCAGGTTCGGTGGGTCAGTAATGAGGCTGTGGGAGCCTCATTACTTCCTTGAGAGGAGGAGGAGAAAGGGCCAGCTGCTTCTTTCTGGACAAGAGAAGTGGGATTCCACAGTGTTGCCAAAGGCAGGCCCTTGAGTACTTCACCTAGTTCAGCACCTGGCATGACCTAGGTATAGAGTGAAGGAATGAGGGGGACATCTTCATCATTCCTTCATTTATCTGTTCTTCCTCTGCTACTCTGGTGGCTGCTAAGGAGGACAAGGGCTTGTGGTAGCAAAATTTCCAAGAGCGAAATTTTCTTTCTGCCTTCCTGAGCCCATCAGGAGGGTAACAAAGGGATGTGAGGCTGAGGCCATCAAAACAGAGATAGAATTTAGACACCTTATCTGGAAATTTCTTGTTCCCCCTCCATGGAATACCGTGGCTAAACTCTCATAAGGTGTCCCCACTAGATGGGTAAATTAGAAAACAGCCCCAGGTCTCCTTCCTCCAGGCTACATCCCCAGGCCAGGACTCATAGCTTGGTGAGGGAAATGTGGACTGCATTTCAGCTCCCACATACCCCTTCCACTGAGGGCCCTTGGACAGGACTGTGTCCTGGCCCTTTAGGGTTCAGGTCCCCCAGGATTCCACTGTAAGGGATGGGGTTGCCTGAGTAGCACAAAGTGGTCTAAGATGAGAAGTCTGATCCAAGAGTGAGGTGGGGGCGGGGAGGGCTGCATGGCCCCTCTGGAGCTTGTTGCCTGCTTAACATGCTTTTCACCCTCTAAAGGCATGTAGGGAGCCTGAAAGGCAATAAGAAAGAACTACATTTCTAGAAACCCCTGTCACTACGTGTATTGCTGGAGTCTGGGCCCATTTACTTCTCAGCTGCCATTCGTATGCTGATGCCCAACCCCATGTCACTGCTTGAAACATTGGGGTAGGAATAACACTTTTCCCTCTTGGCAGCTCAGCTCCTGGGCTATCAGCCTGCAGTGAAGCCAGCAGGCTAAATTGCAAGTGTCATGCATTTATGTCATGCATGTTCCCATAGCGTAACACATATAGAATAATGGCTTAGCTGTGGGGCTAGGTAAAGACAGCTTTCAGCCAACAGGAAACAACAAAAAGTGTTTTACCACAGCACCTTAGAGTTTACTACATATTTTCAAATCCATTATCACATTTGAGTGGGCAGTGCTAACACCTGGGACTGAAAAAGAAAGCCCGGAGACAGAAAGACACTCAGACACACATTCCAATCACACTCAGATATTAACATACCCAGACACCCTCACACATGCACTCGCAGGAACAAACTCACAAATTCAGTCACTCACAAATTCAGTCTACACACTTACCTACCCTCACATGCGCCTGCTCACATATTTTTACATGCTCACACATCTGTGTACATACGAACATGTGTACACATACACGCATGAACATGTTCTCACAAACACACTCAAAAGTTTATCCACACACAGGGCTGCCTGGGTGGCTCAGATGGCTAAGTGTCTGACTTCCACTCAGGTCGTGATCTTCGGGTCCTGGGATCAAACTTCCGGCTCAGCAGGGAGTCTGCTTGTCCCTCTCCCTCTCCCTCTGCCCCTCCCCACCACTCGTGCTCTCTCTCTCTCAAATAAATAAATGAACTCTTTCAAAAAATGTATTCATACACACAGACATATTCACATGCTTATGCTCCCACATTCACTTACACTCGCACTGCCAAATTCACTTATATACATACAAAGATGCACACACGCATGCTTGGATATTCACATGCATGGACATACATATTGACATGTCCACACATTCATTCATACAGATAAATAACTCCTATTAACCCACATGCAAAAAATGCTTACACACATACACTGATCTGCACAGGCTTATACGTGCACATTAACATGCTTGCATGCAAACAGGCTAATGCATTCACTCATATAGGAGCTTGCTCACACACGTGAACATGCGCACACAATCATAACCACCTATTTACCCGTTCACACAGACATGCCCATATATGAACAGGCTCACACATTAACACACGTACACATCCACATGCACACACTCACATTAACATGCTCACACATTCACTCATACCTGCACAGTGACACATGAACACACATGAATATGCTCATGGACTCACTTGTACATCAGCATGGTCACACATTCAATTACACACAAACACACTCATGTACACTCATATTTAATCACACACAAACATGCTCACACATCCACTCAAGCACATAAAGGTGCTTGTATACACTCAGACACCCACATATATAAGTGTGATGAGTGTGAGTATGTAAACATGATCACTAATCACATTTATAACTTGCATACAAATAAGGTCACCCACACAAACATAGTCACACAACGAACATGCTCACTCACACTGACTGTAAGTCACACACTCAGAATTTCACTTACATTCCCCAACATTCACTCACACAAACACTTTCATTTACACATTCCCTCACACATGCACTTAACGTGCTCACACACAGACTTACACATGAATATGCTCATACACATGGACACACAGACCCATCCATTCAGTACACAAACATACATACACTCATGTAAAAGCATCTTTAACATACAAACATGAACATGCATCTACTCAAACGTGGACCTGCTGACAAATACATTCACAGGTAAACAGGCTCCCATAGACAACCCACATATTTACACCCACACCCAGGCAGTCTGGCTCCTGAGTCCATGCTTTATCATACCCTGCATGTAATAGTGTCTTCCTGTGCTGTAGGTGCCCCTGTGCCCGTGGGAGTATCTATCTATGTCTCCAGTATTGAACAGATCTCAGAAATGACTATGGTAAGTGTGCCAGCTTCAGCCATGGGCCTGGGAACGGGGAACATGGGGCAAGGAGCAGGGTCATAAGCCAACTCCAATTGTTCTGACCTGCAACAGAGCCCACATAAATGAACATGGTAGGTTTGGGAAACTACAGCCACCTGGAACAAAACATAAATAAATCCAAGTGAGTTATAAACCTAAAGGTTAAAGGCTTATGAAGTTTTTAAAAGAGAATATAGAATACTGTCTTTGTGGTAGGACTTCTTTAAAAAGTCATAGGAAACAGAAGCCATAAAAAGAAATACTGGTAATTTCAACTATATTAAAATTCTATCTAGAGGCACCTGGGTGACTCAGTCGGTTAAGCATCTGCCTTCAGCTCGGGTCATGATATCAGGGTCCTGGGATCGAGTCCCACCTCAGGCTCCCTGCTCAGTGGGGAGTCTGCTTCTCCCTCTCCCTCTGCCCCTCCCCACCCACCTGGTGCTCTGTCTCAAATAAATAAATAAAATCTTTAAAAAATTCTATCTAGCCAAAACTTCTAGAACTTTTGTTTTGCCAGACAAATAAAACCAGTATAACAGCTGTAAAAGGATAAGTCAGAGTGGACTAAGATATATGCAACAGAAAGAACTGCTATTGAAAATATACATAATTCCTGTGAATTAATAAGAATATTTATTTAATTATTTATTTATTGGAGGCAGAAAGAGCATAAGCAGGGGTTGCTGCAGGCAGAGGGAGAAGCAGGCTCCCCACTGAATAGGGAGCCCGATGTGGGACTCAGTCCCAGGACGCCAGGATCATGACCTGAGCCAAAGGCAGACACCTAACCAACTGAGCTACCCAGGCATCCCAATAAGAATGTTTTTTAAACAATAGAAAAATGTTTAGAAAATTTGAACAGGAACTTCACTTTTGTGAAGAAAACCAAGTAGCAGATGGACATGTGCAAATATGTTTGACTTTATTATTAATCAATGAAATGCAAAATAAGACCAGAGCAAGAATCCATTCCATCCCACCAGACTGGCATAAGTCAAAAGTCAGACAATACCAGTATTGGGAACTCTCATCTGCCCTGGGTGAGGGGGTAAAGTGGAACGTTCATGTCATTACTTTTATTTCATGTTGATTTTGGTGCGTATTGTCTGTTCACATAATAGTATATACATAGTATATTCACATGAGAGAATATTCTCTCCAGTGCAAGTGAACAAACTTTAATTACAGACATCAACATGAAAGGATCTCACAAATAGAATTTTGAGCGAAAGAAACAAATTAGGAATACATACAGTATAATTCCATTTGGAAGAAAAATTTAAAAATAGGTCCAAGTAAGCAATATGTTTCCTAGAAATACAGACATAGGCAATAAAACTCTAACAAAAAGCAACAGAGCTATTATCATTAAAACCTAAGATAATGGATACTGCTGGGAGGTAGATGTGGGGAATATGTTCTGGAAGAAACACATTGAAACTCGAAAGTTATTGGTAATATTTGATTTCTTAACCTGGATTTTAATTACATGAAGCTCAGTTTATTCTTAACATTTAACATTCTTGCATGTTCCAATACTCATCTATATTTGGGATGTATTTTTTACACCTGCATGCGTGCACACACACACACACACACACACACACTCTTTGAAGATGGAGAGCTGGACAACCCCACTTATGACTGGGAGTTACCTTTCTCTCCTCAGGACTATACGATCACGATGTTTTTTCATCAAACCTGGAAAGATCCACGTTTAGCATACCATGAGACCAACCTGAACTTGACCCTGGACTATCGGATGCTGGAGAGGTTGTGGGTCCCTGACTGCTACTTTCTAAATAGCAAGGATGATTTTGTGCATGATGTGACTGTGGAAAATCGCGTGTTTCAGCTTCACCCAGATGGAACAGTGCGGTATGGCATCCGGTGAGTTTCCCCAGGGGCTTGGGGACCATCCTGGCAGGCTTCCTTCTTCCCCCTGAGTAGCCTATGAATGCACTGTAAGGGACACACGAAGGACCCTGTTGCTGTCTTGCACTGCCCCCTCACCCATCCTATCCAGTAGTCAAAGGGAAACCTTCAGAGTTTCCCACAGCCATCCTTGGCTCTCCTGTCCCCACACCTTGCCCATCCTTCAGTCCCTAACTTAAATGCCCTCTTTGTCAAGACACCCTCCTTGATTTTCTCAATTCGAAGAGCTCTCCCTCCACCTTAGCATTGTACACATTCTGTTATTTATCTTTGTTTCTTTTCTCTCCCATGATGTGAGGGAGGGAGACAAATGAATGCTGAGGGAGGGGGCCCAATCTCTGTCGTTGGTCATATCTGCATCATGCAGGGGGCCCAGGGTGTGCAATATATGTCTGTTGTCTATGGTTCCCTGCACATGGGATACACACACGCTGGAAATCCTCCCTGGTTTATTTATAGTCACTGAGGCTCTCCTCACGGCATCATCTCTTACAAACTATCACTTAAGACAAGCGTAAGAGATAAGTGTAGCTCAGAAAATTTCTCCAAGAGGTAGTGGCACCAGGGTTCAGCCCCTGTCTCTGAGTCTCTCTTTCTCTGGGGTGCTCCTGCTCTATCCCTTTGTTTCTCTCTGCTTTCTCCATGGTGCAAGGTGCTAGAGTGAAAACAACAACAAAGCTTGCAGAGAACAAGGTCACTGGTCATACTTGTTTCATTTAAAGGGGGCCTCAGCTGATAAATGCTGCGTGGAGGATTCATGGAAGGGACACACACACACACACACACACACACACACCCCCTACCCAGCGTACAAAATGGAAATCACTTCAAGGGTTGAAAGGGACAAGGCCTCGTCTCCCTTCTGTGTGGTGGGTCCCTTCTCCCACTTCCGCAGCTCCTCCGAGATCCTTCTTCAGATTCCCCTCACAGACCCACCATGTGGCATCTTGAAGCCCCTGCCCAACACTCCACAGCCCACCTTAGATATGTTAATACTTCCTACCCATTTATACCTCCTACTGTCGTGTTGCTCAGCCCCAGTGGCCTATGTGCATACGGGCAGACACATAGAGAAGAGAGCGCTGTGGGAGCAGAGGCCCCACAGCCAAAGGAGGGCCTGGGCTACGACTCACATCCATACGGGCACTCCACATTGGATCGGGCACCTCAGCTGCTTCAGTGTGGCACCATTTCCTATTGACAGCCTTGCTCCTTCTTCAGCAAGAAGGTCCACTTTCTGTCCCTCCATCCAGTTTCCTCAAGGGCCCTTCCCATTCTGCTGCCCTGAGGTTCCCTGTCAGACCTCTTGGTTTCTCTGTCACATACACATTCCCTCTCTCCTCCTACACAACTGTGACCCAGCTTTCCTCTAGGAGGAAGGAAAGGAAGAGGAAAAAGAGGGAAAGAAAAACTGGAGGGAGGAAAGGAAGACCCAGTTCGAGTGTAGGCAGTTTGGGACAGTGTTAGGTGGGTCAGTATGTGGAGTACCTCTCAGTTCTCTCAGGAACGGTTGCTTGCCTGGACTTGACTCGCTTTTCCCTTCCTTTTGCTTTTCCTCTGCAGACTTACCACCACAGCAGCTTGTTCCCTGGATCTGCAAAAATTCCCTCTGGACAAGCAGACCTGCAAGCTGGAAGTGGAGAGCTGTACGTATATCTTCCAAGGCCTCTTCTTTCCTACCTGGGGTCACAGTCATCCAGAAACCAAAGGCAGAGTAGACAGTGACAGGGAGGGCATTATTCCCCTACTCCCTTCTTCCCCATTCTCTCTCTGTTCAATAGATGAACAGACAGAAGTATATACAAAACGTCTGGGAGAAGGTGGCCTTTCATGTGTGAATAGTCAGTCCTCCGGGGAAATTGTACTTTGCTATTGGGAAATTATGTACAAGCTAGTGGATAGGAGCACATCTCTTTGCTCTGTTTTCTTTCCTGGCTAAGAAGCTCCAAAGTGAGAATTCCCTTTCCAAGTGCCCCTCTCCTCTGTGCTCAGACTCAGAAAACCTCAAAGGTGCCCCAAGAGTGCAGGTTCCGACCATCCTTTGGTTTCCACAGCCTGCCCTGGTGTGAAATCTGCCTATGCCTGCTTTCTCAGACTGACTCTGTTTCTCTCCCTCTCCCAGATGGCTACACGGTTGAAGACATCGTATTATACTGGGAAGGCAATGGGAATGCCATCCAAGGGACTGAGAAGCTGCACATTCCTCAGTTCAGCTTCCTGGGAAAGATAATGACTAGCAAAGAGGTGTTTTTCTACACAGGTGGGTCTGATCTTCTCTCCCATTTCGTCTTTCTTTTGTACCCTGGTACATTCCTGGACATCTGTCTGCCTTTGACCTCTACACTCTCTGTTGCCTCCTGTCCTATTTCCTTCTGGCTCTAGACACTTTCCAAAACCCACTTCAAATGAAGAAACGGGTGTGGAAGCACTTGGCCAAGTTTGACACTCTACAGGTGTAAAATGTTCATGCTCTTCCTGATAAAAACAGGCCTCCTCTCATGAGCCAGCCTCCCCCCCGCCCCCATTTGTCACTTTGAAATATTTACTATATCTCCCATTTCGAATCTCCAGTTGACATGAAACAAGTGAGGAAGGAAGGAGGAGAGAACAGACTTGCCATGCCATATGGGCCTACTGATATGCCATTGTCACGGGCCTTAAGGCGGCAGGCAAATAGGGTCAGATTGGCAGGCTGCCCAGGCTGGAATATTAGGGGCTTCCCCTCCTCCATCCTGTACTTGACCCTGAAAATCCCCTCAGCCCTGCGACCCTAATACCAGGATGTCTCCTTGCCAGGTTCCTATGTGCGCCTGATACTGAGGTTCCTGGTCCAGAGGGAAGTCACCAGCTACCTTGTGCAGATCTATTGGCCTACTGTTCTCACCACTGTTGTCTCTTGGATATCGTTTTGGATGAACTATGAATCTTCTGCAGCCAGGGTGACAGTTGGTAGGTCCTGTCCTCATCCCAGGGAGGAACTTGGATCATCTTGCTCAGAAAAAAAGTCAAGAGTAAGAGAGGAATACTTGGGGTGGTATGTGACTGCACGGGCAAGGAAGCAATATGGTGCCTGCCCAGCAGGCATTTATCCAGGGGCTTAGCCAATCCCCAGCAGAGAGACCGATATTGCAGACAAGTGTGAAAAAAACATCAGGGCTGGGATCTTGGTATGTTGGACCCAAAGTATTAGAATGCATTATTTGCGGGATACATGAATGAACACGTCATAAATTTAGATCAGAAATGCAATACAACAAACGTTGATTAAGCAACATATCAAAATGCCCATCAAAATGGCAGTAGAGGACTTCCAGAGAAGCTGTCCTCAATGAGTATCTGGTGGAATGCTGGGATAGATACTGTGAGATGCCAAAGAAGGAAACGACCCAGATCTTGTTGGCTAAAACTGCACCAAAAAAGTCTTGCTCAAGCTGCATTTTCAAGACTTGTAGGAGGCAGAGGCATAAGACTTGTCATTCACCAAAATAGGAAATCACTATTAAAAGGCACAGGGGCCCTAAAAGGGGACTAAGTCAAAGGGTGCCTAGGGCAGGAGCTGTGGGGAAATAGGGAGAGTCACAGAGAGACAGGAGGAGTGACTTGAAAAGACCTTGAAGTTCCAGTTTAAGCAGTTAGAACTTCATGTCCAAGCAATGGGGAGAACCAGAGGGTTTTGAGCAGTACCAGGGAGGGGCCTAGAGAATCAGCTCCCAAGTTTATCTGGTCCCAGTGTGCCCCACATCCAGGTCTGGTTTTTCCTTCACCGTCTTTGGGGCAGACTCCTCAGCCTCTTTCTTAAGGAGCACATGTTGGACTAAACCTTCAATATGTGTGTAATTTTTTAAAGGCTCACAAACCTTTCTGAGGGATGTGATCTAAAAGAAAGCCTATGTGCTGGAAGGCAAAAGAGGCTGGAGATATAAGTCCCACTGTGAAACCATGGCTGGAGATTTTGGACTTGATCCGAAGAGCAATGAGAAAGTCATGGAATCATCAAAGCATGGGCTGGGTGTAGAGCTGGGGAGGAAGAGCAAAGAGAGCACTTGAGCGAAGTCCCCAGGCCTAGAGAACTGAAGGCCTTTTGCTGAGGGCCCTCCCCGCTCCAGAGATGATGGTTGCTCCCTTCCCGTAGGATGTGGGCCTGATGGCTTGCCAAGAACTTCAGCCACCTGAGGAGGCTAACCCTGCGCCATGTTCTTTATAGGTCTGACTTCAATGCTCATCCTGAATGCCATCAACTCACATCTGCGGGATAAACTCCCCCAAGTTGCCTGTATTAAGGCCATTGACATCTATATGGTCGTATGCTTCTTCTTCGTGTTCCTGTCCTTGCTGGAGTATGTCTACATCAACTATCTTTTCTACAGCCGAGGAGGATCCCGGCGCAACCAAAGGCGACACAGGAGAGCCCAAAGAGTCATGGCCCGCTACCGCTACCGGGAAGTGATGCTGCAGGTTTGGCTTTTTGATTAACAATCAGCTTTCCCTGATTAGGGATTAGGCACCTTCTTAAGCCTAAGCTTAGCCCTTGACCCTTTCACATTTCTTCGTTCCTTTAATCCTCGCACAACACACACACACGCACACATCAGATAGCAAAGAAATAGAACAATTTATCATCACTCCTTTATAGGTCAAATCATTGTTGCAAGGTCCCAAGGCAGTAAGTGGCAGAACTAGATTTTCCCAGACCTTTTGACTTCAAATCCAGTCCACTTAGCATATTTTCAAGGGCAGGTGAAGGACCCAGAGGGCAAAGGAGCACAGGGAGGCTGAAAGGAAGAGAAAGACACCAGAGGGGTTAGCCTACCCCTCCTTCCTTTGCTCTTTCAATTCCCAAAGCCGTGCTGAGACTTTTGTTGCTGGCAGTACATTAATGTCCAGCAGTGCCCCCTTCCTTCCCAGGAAGCCCAGCCACATCTGCCTGAGGAGGCCTTGCCTCCATCCACCACATAGCACTCCAGAGAGAGCAGCTGCCCCAGGAAGACCCAGGCTTGGCAGCCACCGTGGATTTCCCTTACATGCTAACAGCCTCTTGGTCCTGTTCCTCAGCCCCTTGCACACCGGAGATCCCAAGAAGAGATGATTCTGTCAGTGGAAGAGATCAACAGTCACATTGCAAGTGCTGATGAGGAAAGCCCTTTCCCTCTTCCTTCCTCCCCACCACCAGTGCTTATTCATGTAGAATATGAACCTCCTGACTTCAGAAATCTATCTACTATCTCCTTGAAGGATGCCCAGGTTAGCATAGAAGATGAAAGTGACTCTCTTTCCTCCAGACCAGTGCAGGCCTGCCTGGCAAGCCTAGAAAGCCTCAGCTCTTTGATCTCCATCCCAGAGCAGGCCCCACTGGCCAACTCAGAAAGCTTCAGCTCACTATCTTCTCTCTCAGAGCAGGCCTGGCTGGCCTCTAGAGAAAGCCTGAGTGATCTCCCCTCCACCTCAGAGCAGGCCCTGCCCAGCTATGGCATTCGCTTTAATGGTTCTGAGATTGATGACAGTGTTATTCCTACTGAAATCCGCAACCGTGCTGACGCCCACGGCCATGCTGATACCCGTGACCCAGAAGACCCTGAAGAGAACACGAGCTCGGATGAGGGTCATGGCCATGGCCCTAGTGGGAGGCATCTGCTTGTCTATGGTCACAGGTGTGTGCAGGAAGCAAGCTGCAGCCTTGATGAGATCCATAGCAACCTTAATGAGATTCATAGCAACCTTGATGAGATCCGTAGATTGCCTGATGACATCAGAGTTGAGAGCGGCTACCTTGACCTTGAGAAGCAACTCAGGTGTGATCTTAACAGTACCTGGAGCCTTAATGTTGATGATTTCATGGGCTTTGACCAAGGCAAGGACAGTAACTCAGAGTCTGATGACAGTTGCCCCCCGAGTCCTGGGTGCTCCTTCAGTGAAGGGTTCTCCTCCAAGCTCTTTGACCCTGACTATGTCCCTGAGGTTGACAGGTGGTCCCGGATCCTCTTCCCTCTTTCCTTTGTGGTGTTCAACATTGTCTACTGGGCATTTCATATCAATTAGTCCCATAGTGCCCCTTTCATGGTTCCTCTTGATTCCATTTTGCCTTCTTTTCTTGGTTCATTTTATTTTGTGGTTATTTGGGCAGTTGAATTAGTTCTGCCTTTCTCTTTATAAACATGAGGTGGGAAGTAGTTGAAAAGGATGTGTTCTAGCTGGAAGGAAAGGGATTGAGGAGGACTTGGAGGTAAATAGCACATTGATTTTCCTTTTTTGCTAGAAGACTATCACCTTTTCAAAGACTTCTAATATCTGTGAAGCACAGAAAAGCCCCTGGAAATGTTTGGAGGAGAAAGCCAGGCTGGGAGACAGAGGAAGGATCCAAGCCCTGCGCATAAACATTTCTGAGGGTTTTGCTGCCCCCGACCATGTGTTGAATTTTCTTTTTCATTACTTTTTTTATTCTGTTTTTCCCTCCTAAGAATTTAGTCCTTGCTCACCCCCTGATTAAGGTTTTACAGGAGAAAGTCAAGCTGGGCTGAGCAGGGGTACACAGGGGAAGCACTAGCCATGGCTTGAAAGTGCAAGGGGCTGGCTCTAGGCAACTTGGGGAAATCTCTTCCCCACTATTGTTTTCTGTTGTATTTCGAGTGTGGTGTTGTGGTGTGGGGTTGGGAGTGGAATGTGGGTGGGTAGGGGTACTGAGTGAGATGTCAGGGTAAGTGAGAGATCATGTTTCCAGCAGGAGCTTGCAGGAGGTGATGAGGTCAAGTTGGAGATTCCCAGATTGAACTGGCATCTATGGAGGGATTGGAACTTCTCTTGTCTATAATTCTGCTTCACAATTCTTGATAATACAGACTGGGTACTGGGTACGTCTGTCTAGGTCAGATGCTGACTTGATCACTAGTGACAGAGCAAGCACTTGCTGAATGAAGACGAGGGTCAGGAAATTTCTGACTTGCTATTTCATCACCTGGTCTAGAACAGCAGACGAACAATTGTGAATCTCTATAGTAACCCTGTGTGTCTAGTGCATAGCAAATGTCAACAAGCTCACTGACCCATCACATTGTTATGCCCTCACAGGAGCCCAGTAAGCCAGGGAAGGCAAAGCACATTGTCCCCAGTGTTCCAAGGGGAAAAAATGGAGCTTATGTATCATGCCTAAGGACGGTAAGTGGTAGAAGTAGTAAGGTAGTAAGTGGTAGAGCCACTCCACTTGCTCTTCTTTCTTCTTATCCTCTTAACTCTCTCAACGAAAGTGCTCCCCTTTCTCCTCCCCTCTTTACAAATGGGGGTGCTCCATCAGGTTCTGCTTCTTTGCCAGGCCCCAGACCTCATTACATAGCACCTGGAACATCTCTGCAGGAAGTGGCCAGTGACCAGCCAGTGAGTGTGAACCAAGCACATGGAACGTGGGTACTGCCCACCCAGTGGGGCCACGAAGGGAAATAGAAAGTAGCCTGCACTCCAGCTTTCCTAGCAGCTCCACCTCTTTAATGGAGGCCATGGGGGAACAAGACTTGCCAAGCACTCGGCCTATGTTTCTCCTTCCTGCCTAGGCAGCCTCTCCTGCAGCCCCTCAGCCACCTACCCTTTTAACTGTGTTTCTGTGTTTGTGTTTCTGTGTATAGCTGAGTAATTCTGTATGTACATACAACCGTTTTGAGAAGCTGTACAGCTCTATGGATATCGATGTAAATCTATATCGGTGTGTATAAGAGTGTATATATAACAACGTGTGGATGCGTGTTTGTGTATGCACACCCCTGGGAAAGAGTGTGTGTGCCTGTGTGTATGCACGTGGGTATATGCTATGTGTGTATGAGAGCATATGTGCACACCCATGTTTATTCATCTGATTTGAATGAGTGTGAAAGGAAATGCACCCAAAAGCATATGTATTTCCTGTTGGTGGCTCTTCTAGAACCACCTGAATTCCTTTGGCCTGTTCTCACCTAAGTGGGCGGCCATATTTGGCCGGGCTGGTTAACTGACTGTTTCTTTCCAATTCCCTGTTCCAGGGGGCAGTGTCTCCCGGTCCCCAATCACTCTTCTCCTCCTTCCTCCACCCATCTGTGCTGTCTCCTGGACAGAAGACACAGGAGAAGTGAATGTAGTCCCAGGAAGTGACAGTTTAGTGCCTTGAGATAGGAAGTGCTCAAACATGGGATAAGCTGGGAGTGTAGAGCATTTTGCTTTGTCCTGAAACGACATGTTTGAGTAACAAAGGCAGGGTTTGGGTGTGTGTCGGGGGGGGTTGCCTTGAAGATGCATTAAGAACAGATATATGATGTAGACAATGGGTGGGGAAAGCTAAAGAACTAGAGAGGGACTTGTGTATAGCCTTTGTAACTCATCCCCTTATTGCAATCACATTGTAAGCCCGACACGTGTGGGGGCTGAAGGCAGCCAAAAGCATGTGGGTGATGTGAGGAAATAGCCCAGGGTATCAACTGCAGCACTGGATGCAGAGAACCAAAGGTGTTTGGGAGAGGGCTGCAGGCATGGACAGTGGGGGTGGGCCCTTTCGGGGGCAGGAGCACTGTAGTAACCCATCCTGCATCTTGGGATGGCCTTGGATTTGGAGTCCAGAACTCCCTCCTCCCACCCACTCCAGGGAAAGGGATCATCAGAGGGGTGAGAGGATTGACCAAGGAGAGAGGGGCAAAGGAGCCCCAGGGTGTGACTACCTAGATCAGCCCAGTTTGCCATCTCTCTTCTTTTCCATACACACAGCATACACATATAGCCTCCTACACATACACGCCCACAGAGACCCACACAGTCACGCATACATGTACACACATGTGGGCACTCACGCTCAGCACCAAACAGAGGTATGCACAAACACATGCACGCTCACAGCCACATATATATTCACATGCACAGTCACACACGATTACCCTCATATTCGTGTGCATGCACACACACAAACTTTTAAAACAGCTAAAAATAAAAAAAGTTGCCACTGGAATATCTAAGATTGCCTCTCTCTTTGTGGACACCTCTCACAGAAAGATCCAGGTTGGGAGGAGAGAAATGACCCCCACATCTGAGGCTCCCATCATGACTATTGAAAGACTTGCTTCCTGGAGCCTGAACATTGGTTGATTGATTGGGATTTGGGTTTCCAGAACCCTGGGGGGCTTTTGAGCCCCGTGGGAAATGAGCGGTTTACTTGGGGTGATGTCATACAAAGAGACTGGAGCAGTGGGGACCAGAAAGTAAGTTTGAAGATGTGTCTCACAGCAAAGCACAGGAAGGTTCAAGCACAGAAGAGGGGCAGAGAGGCCAGTTGTAAATATCTCTGTAGATCCATGTAGCTAGATAAAAATATTTATATCTTAAAAAGAACATCTTGCCCTAAAGTGCTGCAATGAGAGCAGTTGAACTCGACTGCAACTCACACTGTGTGAGGTTATGTGTCAAGGTGAGGTGGAGGTTTGGCAATGACAGCTTTGCTGAAATTTGAACCTTCTGAGTTTGTCGTGGACTTGGTTGTTTTAGCCTGAAAATTGCCAGATCTCCCCTTGTTGTGTTCTGTGTGTTCTGTTGTCAGCGTCATTATGGAGCCCCATCCTCAGCTAGCTGCCTACATCCCGTCCCACTCCTCACTCGCACCAAATAACTCTGGAAATGCAGAGCATCTGGCAGGGCACTAATAGGGTTCAGCCCACAGAGACTTTCTCAGCCCCAGCCAATCAGAGAGTGCTTGTGGTGAGATAATTTGGAGCTCGGGCAGAAGGAAGGATCTCGTTGAGTCCGGGATGGAGCAACCCTCACTTCACTTTTCTACCTATCTTTCCTCTTCCTCACATGGGCCATCCCATTAACTTTCCCCCTAGAATTCCTTCTCCACCACTACCACAGGAAGGCTACCCTCTGTCTCTTCAGAGCGGCATTTTGTTCTAAGGACCTGGGCCTTTACAGAGATAACGGATGATCTGTTGGGTCTTACTGGAGCTTCTAAAATGTATTCTTACAGTCTGTGTCATCTTGTTAATAGCAAGGCTGTAATGTCTTTGCATATTTAGAACTGAGCTTTCTGAGACTGTGGCCATTCCTAATGAGGTTTCTTTATTCTGTACATAAAAGAACTAACCCTTTGAGCTATTAACTAATGAATGCATTTGCTAAGCTATCAACCTGCATGGTGCCTTGCCGTGGTAATGAGCATCAAAGGAAATTGTGACTTGTCCTACTGAAAGTGCAGTGTGTTTGTGTTTGTTGTGTAGTGTCCTGTGATCAATATGAAATCTCTATTATCAGTGTTGGGTTTTCAGGGTAGGGAGGGGGGAGGGTGTTACAGTGTCTCTCTGGTATATTTCAATTATAAAATAGGCCCAGTTGGTCAGGGCCACCTCTGTTAATTCAACATGTGTGAGACTTTGCACCCACTATATCTTGCCGGACTGTATCCCTGGGGTCAGGAGTCGTCAGCAGAACTGAAGGTGCCCGAGTGTAGTGAGACTGGCTGTGGTGCCTGACTTTGGACAGTGCCAGAGAATTCTTCAGATAGGCAAAGCCGTGCCATTCTGAGGCAGATGAAATACAGTAACACCACAAACATGGAGGTCTTTAAGGAAACCAAGAGAGGAGGAGGACCAAGACCCACGTGTCTTATTGGCCTGACCTGCAGAAGGGTGCAGAACAGCAGAGACCCCCCCCCCCAAGATGACCCAGTTCCCTCTTTGTCTTCATTAGATGTACATTTTTGCATGAAAAAGACCTTGACCAGGCTGGACTTCAAAGAAGGAAAACAAGAAGAAACATAAAATTATGCTTCTGAAAAATATGCTGAAATAAAGGTTTATAAATAGTCAAAAGGAGAAAATAAATATATATAATGGCAAATACACTTACCGGTTGTTGTGTTTCCTCTCTGTCTGATTGGAAAGGAGTTCCACCTGGGCCCAGGAAGCCTCTGGTTTCCACTGTTCACCTTAGCCTCCCCAAGGCTTTGCACATTGACCTACTCATGCCCTAAGATATTTGACTCCATGGTTTTCAAGCAGAGTGGAAGTAGTAATATACAACTGAAATTACTTTACACTTTC